GTGTGTGTGTGTGTGTGTGTGTGTATAATAATAATAATCATTATTATTATGTATATTTTTGTTTTGCCAAAAAAGACTAGGTAGCTGTATCCACGTGTTTGGATTTCAGAAAATACTTAGAGACCGGACGCATGTTTACATCCGGTTTATAGTGGGGAGGTAGACGTGATCGCGAGCGTGTAGGCAAAAGGCATGCGCATTTGCTTTTATGTTCGAATCATGACAGCCTGCCTCTTTCATCACTCACATGATTTCACTTAAAGGTAAACTGTATTGATTTACATAAAAATAATATTACTCTCTTATTCTCAGGAGGTCCAAAAGGAGATGGCGAGATTACGAACCCTATGGCCATCCCCACTGCTCCCTCAGCTACACCAGATGCGCGACGATTACCTCAGTTCCTGATCTCAGTGCGAGTAACATTCATTATGATCTGAATATCTTATTCTGATATGATTATTGTGAGGTGAAACGAGAGTTTTGAAATCCTCATTAATTTAATTTCCAGGTAGGGTTTCGAATGTTATCTCAATTTTTTTTTCAATAAATTCAGTTTATACATCGTGTTTTTTTTTGTAATATACCTATGAAGTCCTTTATTGCTTCATGTCTGCCTTTTTGTGTGTTTATCTCCATCTACTGTAAATAAGATCAAGACAAAAACGTAGAAATAAGATTAAAAATGATAATTTCTGTTCCATGGTACACTCTTTATTTTCAACAATACTCCTACCGCAAAGATTTTTATCTTTAAAACCCAACGTAGTTACTACATGATCTAACATATTTTCCCATTATAGATGTCCTTTCACATGCACTGAAACGAGGGTACCTAATGATTTTTATTGCGGGATGATGGCCGGTTCTTTGTCCACTACATGGCCGTTTCCAAAATGTAAACGGCCCCCTGCATCATCCCGCGATGGAGCTTGAAGACAGGAATTCTTTGCTGCTGTTTGAAAGACTGAACTGATTCATTAGATTGTTATGATCTATCTGAATGTGTTCCCCCCAAAAAAAGTTTATGCACTAAATTTGAAGTATACCGAATACGGAAATAAAAGAACAACGCCTATTAGTCCTCAGTCATTACAATATATATAATAAGCTTGATATAAACCGGGCTCCCGAAATAGGCATAGCCCGGGCGAGGCTCTGCCTCGCGAATCTAAAAAAAAAAAAAAAAAAAAAAAAAAAAAAAAAAAAAAAAAAATCAACTCGACAACGGGCTCCCCAAATAGGCATAGCCCGGGCGAGGCTCTGCTTCGCGAATCAAAAAAAAAAAAAAAAAAAAAAAAAATCAACTCGACTGTACTTGCTTCGGCAGTACATATACTAAAAAAAAATCAACTCGACTGGAACTGGAACCGGGCTCCCCTCATGGACATAACCAGGGCGAGGCTCTGCTTCACAAATCAGACAAAAAAAAAAAAAAAAAAACTCAACTCGAACCACATCCACCTTCGCACTTGTTTACAGGACGTTGAAAACTTGTAATCGAGCTTTGCTTTTTTTTTTTCCTTCCCACTCTTGTGTTGTTGATTCAAGATGCCATCAAAGGCTTTTGGGAAAATAACGGCCCTATCTTGCGCTGGGATTACTGAGATCCGGAGCGTGTTTGGAGTGACGCAATTAGGAATTTTCCATTGGGTTCAAGGCCGAGGATACCTTACCTTCTTTAAAGCAATGGGTAGATTTAAACGAGATTTAAGTGTAACAAACTTTTTTTTTATTAATTATATTATTGTTATCATCATTGTTGATATTATTATTGTTAATATTATTATTGGTATTGCTATCATTATTATTATCATCACTATCATTATTATTATGATCACTATCATTATTATTATCATCACTATCATTATTATTATCATCACTATCATTATTATTATCATCACTATCATTATTATTATCATCACTATCATTATTATTATCATCACTATCATTATTATTATCATCACTATCATTATTATTATCATCACTATCATTATTATTATCATCACTATCATTATTATTATCATCACTATCATTATTATTATCATCACTATCATTATTATTATCATCACTATCATTATTATTATCATCACTATCATTATTATTATCATCACTATCATTATTATTATCATCACTATCATTATTATTATCATCACTATCATTATTATTATCATCACTATCATTATTATTATCATCACTATCATTATTATTATCATCACTATCATTATTATTATCATCACTATCATTATTATTATCATCACTATCATTATTATTATCATCACTATCATTATTATTATCATCACTATCATTATTATTATCATCACTATCATTATTATTATCATCACTATCATTATTATTATCATCACTATCATTATTATTATCATCACTATCATTATTATTATCATCACTATCATTATTATTATCATCACTATCATTATTATTATCATCACTATCATTATTATTATCATCACTATCATTATTATTATCATCACTATCATTATTATTATCATCACTATCATTATTATTATCATCACTATCATTATTATTATCATCACTATCATTATTATTATCATCACTATCATTATTATTATCATCACTATCATTATTATTATCATCACTATCATTATTATTATCATCACTATCATTATTATTATCATCACTATCATTATTATTATCATCACTATCATTATTATTATCATCACTATCATTATTATTATCATCACTATCATTATTATTATCATCACTATCATTATTATTATCATCACTATCATTATTATTATCATCACTATCATTATTATTATCATCACTATCATTATTATTATCATCACTATCATTATTATTATCATCACTATCATTATTATTATCATCACTATCATTATTATTATCATCACTATCATTATTATTATCATCACTATCATTATTATTATCATCACTATCATTATTATTATCATCACTATCATTATTATTATCATCACTATCATTATTATTATCATCACTATCATTATTATTATCATCACTATCATTATTATTATCATCACTATCATTATTATTATCATCACTATCATTATTATTATCATCACTATCATTATTATTATCATCACTATCATTATTATTATCATCACTATCATTATTATTATCATCACTATCATTATTATTATCATCACTATCATTATTATTATCATCACTATCATTATTATTATCATCACTATCATTATTATTATCATCACTATCATTATTATTATCATCACTATCATTATTATTATCATCACTATCATTATTATTATCATCACTATCATTATTATTATCATCACTATCATTATTATTATCATCACTATCATTATTATTATCATCACTATCATTATTATTATCATCACTATCATTATTATTATCATCACTATCATTATTATTATCATCACTATCATTATTATTATCATCACTATCATTATTATTATCATCACTATCATTATTATTATCATCACTATCATTATTATTATCATCACTATCATTATTATTATCATCACTATCATTATTATTATCATCACTATCATTATTATTATCATCACTATCATTATTATTATCATCACTATCATTATTATTATCATCACTATCATTATTATTATCATCACTATCATTATTATTATCATCACTATCATTATTATTATCATCACTATCATTATTATTATCATCACTATCATTATTATTATCATCACTATCATTATTATTATCATCACTATCATTATTATTATCATCACTATCATTATTATTATCATCACTATCATTATTATTATCATCACTATCATTATTATTATCATCACTATCATTATTATTATCATCACTATCATTATTATTATCATCACTATCATTATTATTATCATCACTATCATTATTATTATCATCACTATCATTATTATTATCATCACTATCATTATTATTATCATCACTATCATTATTATTATCATCACTATCATTATTATTATCATCACTATCATTATTATTATCATCACTATCATTATTATTATCATCACTATCATTATTATTATCATCACTATCATTATTATTATCATCACTATCATTATTATTATCATCACTATCATTATTATTATCATCACTATCATTATTATTATCATCACTATCATTATTATTATCATCACTATCATTATTATTATCATCACTATCATTATTATTATCATCACTATCATTATTATTATCATCACTATCATTATTATTATCATCATTATTATCAGAGATGATAGAAAAGATAACGATGATATTCATGATAATAATAGTGATGATAATAATAATCATAACGGTGATGATAATGATAATCATAACGATGATGATAATGATAATAACACTGATTATGATGATAGTAATGTTAATAACGATAGTAATAATAATAACAACGACGACAACAGTAGCAACAATAATAGTGATAATGACAATGGCAGTAATAATGATAATGGTTTTGTATATAATCATGATAATCATGATGATTATTATCAATAATAGTAGAAAAGATATAGGGATCATGATACTGATGATGATAAAAGTGATGATAATAATAATCATCATAACGATGATAATGATAATACTGATACTGATTATGGTAATTGTAATAATAATAATGACAATAATAATAATAACATTGACGACGACAACAAACAAAGTAATGATAGACATAATGTTAATGATGGTAATAATAAAGATACTGATAATGATAATAGTAATGATAATGATAGTAATAATAGTAATGCTAAATGTAGCAATAAAGTATGATGATTATTATCAATAATAGTAGAAAAGATATAGGGATCATGATACTGATGATGATAAAAGTGATGATAATAATAATCATCATAACGATGATAATGATAATACTGATACTGATTATGGTAATTGTAATAATAATAATGACAATAATAATAACATTGACGACTACAACAACAAAAGTAATGATAGACATAATGTTAATGATGGTAATAATAAAGATACTGATAATGATAATAGTAATGATAATGATAGTAATAATAGTAATGCTAATGATAGCAATAATAGTAATGATAATGATAATAGCAATAATAATAATAACAACAATGATAATAATAATGATAATGATAACGATAATAATGATAATAATAATAATTATTATTGTAATAATAACAACACCTATAATAATAACAATAGCGACACTTTTTTCTATTAATACATATCCAACACTGTTCTGGGTTAGTCACCTCTGCTACTGCGAAAAAAAACCCTGAAAATTGTGAAGGAAATGAAGAAATACAATCGAAGAAGGAAACGATACGACCGACGCGACGCGAAGGGAAGGTCGTTGTCCAGTGCCACGGGGGATTCAGGTGACGTAACAAGCGGTGCCACAGGTATGTATTCTGTAAGCTGGAATTTCCCGACGGTTTTTTAAGAGGACTTGGATCGGTCCTCGTTATGCCTCAGTCCGAGGTTTGACTTCAAGCCCAGCGGATCGGTCCTTAGGGGTTTTAGCAAGTGAGTGAAGGGAGCAGCTGGACTGAATCTGGTCTCTATTTTGTATTATTATATATATTTTTTTTTATGTAAGTATTTTTTATTTATTTTTTCCTGTTAATTGCTCTGAAGTTCTCAGTGGTTTAGTTTATTTTTATGTTAACGGTTATTCCACTTCTGGTGAATTCTTGACTTCGATAATCACTGAATCACTTTTGAAAGATGATGTTTCGCCAAATCTTTTCTCAACTCTGTGTAATGATTTCGATTTTGGGGTATAAACTGTAATGTTCATTATGTGCCAAGCAGATTTGATAAATAATTTGGCACATTGTTAGAGGCAATCAAAATCATCAAAATTTCGTGTCATTGTGTGGCATGGATATGAACGGAAGCTTAGCTGAATATTTGAGCGATTTTATCCTTTTTCGTCCCACGTGTAATGCAAAATAAGTGTGTAATGTGGCCTTGTAAATACACCATCTTATCGCATTATCTTCATATTAATTCTAGCACACGAAATTTCGCATTGGTTTTCCCATTAGTATGATGATATGCTGTCATACCAAGGCAGTGGGACCATACACCATAGAATAAAACTACATAAAGGAAGTAAAGTGGGAAATATTGTGTATGGGACCGCTGCTCAGAGCCATGGTTCACGTAAGACCATGGATGCAAAAAGCAAATTCCGTATAAGTCCATACAAGACTTTGCCAACAGCAGCAAGCAAAAGGCCTTGAAGAATACAACCGCAGTTTGAAACCATACGTTCTCTTAACCCCAGAACCATAAATTGCATTTTCTCAGCCTTAAAATAATTACTACAACCTTGCAGTTTATATTTTACTACACTACTAAATAAGGCAGCAAGCGTGATATTCCAATATAATTGTGCATTGCTTTTGTCAACAGGCGTCTAAATCTCTCCAATCCAAGTGTTGTATCTGTAAACAAGGCATTGCACTTAGACTAGCATAAGTAACGTCTTCGCCTGAGATGCAATACTTTTTTTGTGTTACCGTTAATATACTGTAAATATCAATACTTTCAATAGCATTATCGTCATTTGAGGTGCATGGGTGGGCATTATGAAGGTGCGGAGAAAAAAGGTGAAGAAATAGTTAACCTTCAAAACTTATATTAAGTATTATCTGTTAAATTGGCAATAGGTAGGAAACTCATTACATACTAAAATTACCCTTGTAATATTAGCCAAGCTCTCGAGGAGACCATACTTCGTTCCTAAATTTCACGATATTTGTGATTTTTTTTAATATGAAGGTCAGTATTTTATATAAAGAATCTTTCATATTTCTCCTGTTTTACTAATGCTGGCAAGATATTAGTTAAACGTTATATTATGCTACGGGCTGGACACAGCGTTGTGTTAACAAACAACTCTGTTGATAAGCATTTACGGCTAGGTCAAGATTCCCTAAGAGCCACTGAAAATTCGACGCCGTAAGTGATTTACGGCTCTGGGGGGCCGTGATTTAAATTGCCGAAGGACGGTTAATGCCTCGAGCGCGCCTTAACTTACAAAGTAAAGCTGTGGGGCCAGACACCCAAAAGAGACTTTATCTCTTTTGAGTGTCTTGCCCCAGAGCTTTACTTTTTCTTAATCACAGAGTCATAGTTTTTTTTCTGAATTGAAGACCCATACTTTTATAAATACCAGAGCCATAGCTATTTTTTTAATACCTAGAGGCCGGATACGCAAACGCTTTACGGCGTCGCATGTCCTTAAGGCGTCGTAGCTTACGGCCGAGTACTCCTGCGTCCCATACACAGAGCAAGGGACCCTCCATGTTGGTACAAGTCAAGGCGCCGTAGATTAAGGCTCTTCTGAGTATCCGACCCCAGAGACATACGTTTTCCAAATCTCAGAACCTTTTGTTTTCTAGACCCCAGAGCCATACATTATATTCATCCAGAATCATACATTTTCTAAATCCAAAAGCCACACGTTTTCCTATCTCCCAGAACCCTGATTCCTAAATCCCAGAACCC